GGATGTTATTAAGGAAATGGCACGTTTTCTCCACCTCCACGTCGCCTCACTGTCCCTCCTCCGAAACCCAGGCGCTCCAAGAAAGGTCTGTTGCACCTGTGCTTGCTGTTTGATTATTGCATTTGGGTTGCAAGCTGCCTTGAGTTTTTACTTCTTGATTCCAGGATCTCAGGATGTTTGCCTCTTAAGAGTTGCGAGGAGTAGGAAGTGCACTCTTTCTTCCCTGTACAGCACTGTTTGTAGTCACCCCATGCTGTGACCTTGTTTGGACGTTAAATGTTCTTGAGGAAAGGGAAATCTTTCTTTTTCTGGGGCTTGTCTTCTGTTCTCTATGATGTCCCAAAGTCATAAATGTTTGCATGAGTTGCAATGACTGGAAAGGACTGTTTGCTTCTGTTGTTTGTTGGACCCTGTCTTGGTCTTTGTTTTTCTTGTTCTTGTTTGAAGTGTTTAGTTTGATTAGTGTTAAAAGTTAAGTTTGAACTTGTGATGTATTTTCTTCCACAGCTGAACTGGATAAACAAGAAAATTACAAGCCTCATCCAACTGAGAACTACAGACCTCGCTCAGGTAAGAATTGCTCCTTGAAGTCTTCAAATACTGTAATGTTGAGGTTGTAAAAGAAAGTTTGGAATTAACAGCCAAGCAATAACCACATAACTGCCTGTTAGAGAAGGGTTTATTCCCTACTGAGAATCCTTTTAATTTGAGCTTCTGGAGGAGTCCTGCCACAAGCTAATGGTTTCTGAATATATTGTTTTACCCGGAGCCTAGCCAAGCTGCATTCTGGAAAGAAGGAACTAGTTGCCTATGCAGTATTGTTTCAAGGGACTTGAATTTCAGTGTGAAAATGCTAGAAAGGCAGAACATGCAAGGTGAGCAAATGTTGTGGGTGGGGAGGAAGGAATGGCAGGAGGCTGCCAGAATGGTTGCTAGAAGAGAGTCGAGATTCAGGTTGCCTGCTTTGTAGGCAGAGCAAGGGGGAGGTGCTGTCAAAAGCAAGAAGTGGCAACAAGAATGCAGAAAGGCAGGATAATACCTGAGAAATCTCATCCAGCTGAGTCAGGTGGACATGACATTGTAACCCCAACAGGATGGGCAGTAAGTGAAGGTCTCGCTGCTGTTTGGAGAGATGCTGGGAATTTAGAATGTGGGGGGGACAGGCTGTCCAGTCTTGGCAGCACGAGGATCATGGCTCTTCTTTGAATGGCAGCGGAACTGAGAAAAGGAAGTGTTCTTTCTGTGTGCTTAGGCATTAAGAACAGAGGCTGTGTTTGCCCTTTCAGTAGGAATTTGCAGGAGGATGCCAGCAGAGCACCCAGTCTTGCTTTGGATGGGCATTGGGACTAGACTGAATAAGGGGAGGGCTCTTGGATCAATGAGAAGATGGGCATGAGATAGGTGAGTTCATTAGGGACTGGACAGTTTGCAGTTATCAGAGTCCTTAGCTCTGCTTTTCTCCACTTCAGGTATATCTACACTGTAGTCGCATGTCCATGCTAACTTTAAACAAGCCAACTTGGCTACTATTGGAGACATAGCTAGGGTAGCATGGAGCTCATCATGGGCTCCAACACCTGCCCAAGAAGCTGAGTAGATCCTAGTTGGAACTGCCAGCTGGTGTATGGGTAGCTTGTGTATGCTTATGCTACATTGCAGTTGCAGTAGCATCTGCAGGGCAGACATAGCCTTAGCATCTGCTCTGTAAGTAGAGCCTGAAGCTTTGCTTATAAGGCGCACCCTAGAGTAGGCTTTCCACTCTATGGCTCCCTCTGCTCTTCTTACCCCTTAAAGACTAGGCCTGTGCACTTGTGCAGCGTGGGGACATGGGGCTGGGTCCTCTTGGGTATCACAGATGTTCTGTGTAGGCCATAGTTGTGGTTTTTCAATTGCTGTGGCCTGACTTAAAGGGCTAACCTAGTGGGATGTGGATATTTCCACCTTACCAGCTGTGCTCCATGTCAATTCCCTCTGTCAAGTCAGCAGTTCTAAAAGTGCTGTGTGGTGAGGAGGTGTACCTTCTCACTTCCTTCAATCACAAAAGGAAGTGAATTGCTTTCATTCAAGTTTTCAACATCAACACTGTTTGCCCCACAGAGCCCAGATCTGGAAAATATCAGACCATAGATGAAAATGAGAGAGAGAGACGTAAGCTATAAACAGTTGGTAAAGGTCCTTCAACAGGGAGACCTCAGTAGCCTTTAGAAAGAAAAGCCGGATGTGCACCTGTGTAGTCCCCTGCTGGCTTTTTCCAAGTCCCTCATTTCTCCTCCCCTATATCAATGTTGCATTCCTACCCCAGCTTTCCCACCAAAAAAGAGGCAAAGTAGAGGAACAAGAGTTGCACACAGCAGGTAGGCCAGGGGTGGGCAAAATGTGACCCGTGGGCCAGATGTGGCCTGCGGGGCCCCTAAAAATTTTAGAAAATTAATATTTATCTGCCCTTAACTGCCTGTCATGCAGCCCTTGATGGCTTGCCAAAATTCAGTAAGTGGCCCTCCACCCCAAAATAATTCCCCACCCCTGAGCTAGACAGAGCTAGGCTGCTTGGCTCCCACTCCGTGAAGCCTGGAAGTGGAGGCCTGAGGAACAGCAAGAAGATG